GACTTAAACGATTTGTAAACACCAGACAATTTTCCAAAGGTTGATAATTTCTCACGCAACTCTGTGGTTTTTTCTGACGTCCTTTCCATAGGTATTTTAACATCATTTGTTCTAGCATCATCATCTGACTCTGATATATGTGATTCATTCCAAACCCCTTGTTGTAACATTGCCTTAAAGTATTCAGATCGTTCAGTAAGAATAGTACCACGAGCGTATACACATTTATTATCATGATTTGGAAAATTAAATTTTACATCTGAAATTGAGCTTTTATTACATTCGGATTTCCATACTTTGATAAGTTCAGGTGGAAACTCGGGAGAAGGAAATATTTGAGTGGATCTTTCTGACGAAAAAATTACTTTATTAAATCGAACACCGATTGTCACTTCGCCTTCTTTTGGAAGTTTATTCTTTTCAATAAATTTTGCAAATCCTATAAATTATAAATCTATTTGAGATTTTGGCAGCTGACAACAAATAATCAAAGACAATGAAAAAAAAAGAACATACCATAAAGACAAGATCTAATATTATAGTTTTCTAATTTCCCAAAGTTCATTTCTTTGTATGGGTTTTTCATAAAACAAGTAGCGGAATATTCACTTCTATCCAACCAAATATCCGTAGAAACATTCTCTTGTGGATTTGCCAAGGCTACAAGCCACAACGAGCAATATTCTGGATGTTCTTGGCATTCCTGCATAAGTTAATTTGTTAAATTATTGTGGCAACTTATTAATGAAGTTGGCTGATGCAGAAATTTTTAGGATCAGCCAATTTCAGTAAAATTCATTATTCATAATTACCAAATCAAATTTTAGCTGCCAAAACATATTTTCCGACGTAGCAAATGGGGGTGAATAATATGACTTTTGATATTTTAGGGTATCCACAGAAATCTTGTATTTAAATGAAGCTTTGCTGATTTCTCCTTCGCCCTTCATTGTTGTTTGAGAGAATTAATCGGTGAAAGATTGCGTTCTTATAATGTTTTCAAAATAATTCCAATTATATGCATTTAACGTAAATGTGCATTTTTGTGTAATCAGAGATTTTCTTTTGTTTCTAGATCTACAAATACAGAATTTTACGATTACACAATTATATAGTAATGATTTAAGATGTAACCAAACAATTTTTTTCGCCCGAATAGTTTCATTGTTTTCGGGTTTTACTTGAATTAAAAATAAAATCTGCCATTTTTCATTGCTGATACGTAACTACCGTAACTCCGACAGATAACCGGATAAAGCTAATATCTCTAATAACCTTTGTTAAAATTGCAGTGAAAACATGCAACTGTACTTAATGACT